GAATTCAGCCTTCACAGCCTACGAATCTAATATCTCAGCTTATGTAACAAAAGAAAGAGAAAGCAAATGGATCTAATTAGGGAAGAGAAGAAACAATTGAATCACTGGCCACAGGAGCGGTGAGGCAAGCCTTGATACAATTCCAGATGGGAATAGCTCCCCGCTGCCCATCAGGGCAGATCTCAGATCCCCAGCACCGTCAAGGCCACTGCTTATAGAGATGCCAGATCTGCACGTCCCTCGCAGCATCTCCTGACAAGGAGATTTGGGGGCAGGGACCATCGCTATGCCCATTGAGGGCACGAATAACGGAGGTTCAGAGAGGTGACGCACCTGGGCCGTCATCAAAATGCACTTCCATTCTCAGCCCCTCTGCAGCTGGTTCCTCTGCATGCCAGACACGGATGCAGCAGCTACTCAGCAGGGCGGGGACGGCCCAGGGTCCCAACCCCTGCCTGTTTGCACCAGTCCACTCTCCTTCAGAGGAGAAACCGATCGATGGCTGTTGGATGAATGAATTCCTTCAAAGTTTTCATTCTGCAGCTGTTTCTTTGTTGCGGGCAAGAGATCCGTCAGAGGAGCCCTGGGACTAAACATCCCTGCCAGCTCCAGCTCGCCAGCTCGCTCAGCAGCCTGGGCCTCAGAGGGGGCTGCTTCTGCCCTGCAGTCACTGCAAGTCCCGGCCAGCGGCCTGCGAGAGGCAGCTCTGACGGATGTTAGCTAATGGGGTATCGATTCTTTTTTAAGAAGCAAAAATTGCAGCTGGCCAAGAAGAATGGGGAGAGAGCAGGTGGAACCCAGCCTCTGAGGCCACCGAGCCCACCCCCCACCCCCCCCTTCTACCCCTGCCCCAGGCCAGGCCTCTCCTTATAGGGGCCAGAAGAGGGAGCAACTGGCTGAAGGGAAGGGTCCCATGGTCACCATAGTCGGGACAGGAGACAGGCCAAGGTGCTCTGCCAGCGTCACCTCCTGGTGTCTGTGTGGTCCTGGGACAGAGGTCCTGCCGTCGTCTTACAAACAAGGAAACTGGTGTTCAGCCAGGGTCCCCGGGATTACCAAGCCCTGGGTGACAGACTGGGACGCGGGTTTGTGTAACTGGGTGGCCTGGGCTGTTTGTGTTGCACTAAGAGCAGATCCTGCAACACGGCCTCTTAGGACAGCTTCGGAAGCCCTCGAGTGAGGGGACCGTGGGGCGTCCCCAACCGGGTCACACGATGGGCAGGTCCACTCCGGAGCCCCCCGAGTGCGTTCCTTCATTCGCTCCCTCCCACAGTCCTCCCTCCCTCCATTCCTCAGTGACAGCAGAGCCCCTTGGAGGCTAAAGGAGGCTTTTCTGTCCTGCTTCCTACTCTCAGGAGAGGGGCTGTCCTCCCGGTTCAGGGCATGAGCTGGGCATGGCACCCCATTTCTGTGCAGAAAGGATTGCTTTCCATTTCCAAGACCACGGAATTCCACTAAGTATCTGATAGAGTGACCTCAGGCACAGATTTCCCCTGGGGCCAGTGCCCTGGGGACCCCACGGCCTGGGGACATCTTAGCCCCGTGGCGTGACTGGCCTCTGCTAAACAACCCAGCTCAGTGCTCCTCCCTGAGCCTCTCCAGGGGGCCTCTCTCATGAACTCGAGATGGCGTCTCCCCCAACTCTAAACGTCCCAAAATCTGAAAAGACACGTTCGTGGAGGGGTCAGATGAGTCGTTCCTCATTCCACAGGGTTCTCCCTAAGCCTAAGCCTGGGCATCCATGTCCACCCTGAAATGAGGACACAGAGACTGGGGAAAGCCAAATGACCCCTGTTCCACCTAGGAGGAAGCCGGCCTCTGAGCCCAGAGCTCCTGAAACAGGCGCCTTTGGAAATTAAGCGCCAACTCCTGATCCCTCGATCTTCTGCATCTCACATCTCCTTGTACTGGCGGTAAATGCTGATGACCGCCCCCGGCCAGGCAGGTGCTGAGGGCGGAGGCTGGCATCTCTGATTAGCACAGCCTGGCCAAACCTGCAGGGTCCTGCTTCCTGCCTTCTGTCCTGCTGGGCCTTCTCTCCCTGACCAAAGCTTTCCGCCCCCTGAGACAGAGTTGAGACGGAAAGGTCTCTAACTTCCTCAGGGCTGGCTTTAAAAGATCCTATTTCCTTGCCAAGCTGCCTCTGGAATTTCTGTGGAGCCACAAGGAAAAGCCATTCCCTCTGGTAATGCGACTTCTCGCACTCAGCCCCTAGGGCCTTCTAGGAGGCGGCCATCCAAAGCAGCTTATGCTGAAACTGAAAACCTGCACACAGCCTTCCACACTGTGGTCAGGGACAGCAGAATCAGGGACCAGTCCCACTAGAGTCTACTGTGCCACTGGGGACCAGCCGTGGGCTCCCCCATGTGGGCACCCCCTGGGTTGTCCAGGACACGGCCGACGGACCTGTTCATCCCCATCTCCTGCTTCTCTAGGCCTGCCTCTGACTCTTCACAGACACCCAGCTTCCTCTGCGGCCACCCAGATCCCAGTGCTGCCCTCGCTCACTTCTCAGCTGCACTCGTTCTGTGTAGATGTCTGTTTAGATGTCGTCGTTGAGAGCTACTCAGAACCATAAGGTCTGATCTTAGAACTAGAAGAGCATGCAGAGGGCTCAAAAATCGGTGAACCTTCTCCCTCCTCAAGGCAAAATGTCCTCGTTGGACAGGGGTTTGTTTTGCTTATCTTGTGCCAAGTCGCACATCCTTCCGAGACTCTATGGCTCAAAGCAATGATTTATTTAACTCACAGCTCTGTAACTGGGGCAGGGCTCAGTGGAAGCAGCTCGCTATATCCCATGTAGTCCTCACTGGGGCAGTTAGATTGCCATAACCACTAGGCTGGCAAGTCCTGCTGTCATCTGGGACCTTGGCTAGGACTACCAGCTGCAGCCCCCAACCCCTCTTCACATGGGCCTCCCAGAGCATGCTTGGGCTTCCTCACAGCATGGTGGCTGGATTCCAAGACCCAGCACAAGGCAGGTGTGTGTGGCACTTTTATGACCTAGCCTTGAAAGTCACATACCAACCCTTCCCCTGAGCTCAGCTACTCAAGGTGGTCACCAGATTCCCAGGGAGAGCAGAGACTCCACCCACTGATGAAGGTGGCAAAGGTCTAGCACAGCAATTGGGCAGCAGATATGCCGCAGCCATCTTGGGAAAATATGCTGTGTGTCTATTGGTCGAATGGCTCCTTGTGACCTTCAGCTAATTACTTTAGAATTGCTCCTTTTTTTCCTCACCCCCCTGTGATAGGCACTGAAGCCACAAAAGAGGAGAATCCAGGTAATGTGGGATATTCAACCCACAGTGGCAGACTTCCTGATGGTGTGGGTCTCACCGAATATCAAAGGATGCAGCAAAGCCCCAGGCAAGGTGAGATCAAAAGCCTTCCCTCCTGCCCTTCCTGTCTGTGGGTTACCATGGTGATAGGAGGGTGGAACCAGAGGCACCTGGAGACATCATCGCAGTATCAGAGCTTATAGGATCTGTGTCAAAAGTTCACGCACATACACACC